CCATTTTCGCGTCATACATCCTCGCAAGTCTGACCTCGGAGGTGCCCTGCCCCCGGCACCATGGTGGTCAGGCCACTTTCGCCTGTTGCATCCTCGCAACCGTGGGTTCTGGAATGCCCTGATCTCAGATATTCGCGCTATTTTCTCTTGAGACATCCTCGCAACGCTGACCTCAAATATACCCTGCCCCAAATTGTGCTGGCCAGTTCCGCGTAGACAAACTCGCAGTGTTGACCTGGGATGCGCCCTGCCTTGAAGTAGTCAGACCCCGGATGTGCCCCGAGATACGATGTTCATGCCACTGTCGCCTGAGACGCCCTCTCACCTCTGTCTTCGGAGGTGCCCTACCCCATGGCGGTCCGGCTACTTTCACCTGCGACATCCTCGCAACAGTGGCTTCCAAACGCCTAAAGCTGAGACATCCTCGCAACAGTGGCTTCCGAGGCCACCTTCGCATGAGACATCCTCGTAACTCTCATTTCCGAAATGCCCGGGGCTGAATGATCAAAGATATCATAAGAGATTTGACATCGAATATGCCTTGCCCCAAGTTGGTTCGGCCACTGTCTCCTGAGACCCTCGCAGAGCCTGCACTACCACGCAGATCATCGTATGCGGCAGGAGAAGCTCGGACCCCTGCGAGACTCCGTCCGCACCAGAGCCCATTACAAAACTCACGCTGATCAGGCAGGGACGCCCCAGAGCCGTCGCTGTGGCCGTCGTCGTGGCGGCGGGGGCCTGACAACCAGCCGATAAACCGATAAACCGGTAAACCGATATGCGGCGCAAGGATCGACTCCTCAAGAATGCCCCCAGCGGTCTCAGACTAGCCAGTGATCCGATGAGCCGGTAAACCGATAAACCGATAAACCAATAAATTCTTGACGCTTCGCGTATCCCCACCAGCCCATCCTACACCAGGCACTCGAACGAAGAGCGCCGATGATCGGCAGCTGTTCTCCTCCCCCTCTTCCTCCTTCTCCTCCGCCTTCTCCTCCTCCTCCCTTCCTCCTCCTCCTCCTCCTCCTCCTCCGCCTCTTCCTCTTCCCTGGTGGCGTCTTGGAGGTATCTTCGAACGTTTTGGTGGGCTCTTGGGCCTCGCGGGCGGGCGGGCGGCGCTCCGCCCGCCCGCGCGCAGGGCGCAAGAGGAGAGTCCGAGACGTCTCTTGAGGCCCTCTTGGAGGACATCGATCGCAGAAGGGGGAAGCATTTTTTAGCGTCGCCCCCCTGGGGGGCACGATCCTCGTGAGGGGTGTCGAATTTTAGCCCTCCCAGGGGTCGTTCTTGGACGCTCTAACTACCCGCGGCCCCCCCTGTCCAGGTCAGTGGGGAGGGGGTAGGGGGAGGGGTAAACCCCTCCCCGAAGGGGAAGAAGGAGGGGTGGAAGAGGAAACGCTCTAAACCACCGACGCCCAGAGGGCTGGTGGGATTGATCAAGCCATCCTGCGCTGAGATTCGTACACGATTGCGATGAGACGGTTTATCGGTTTACCGGTTTATCGGCAGATTCACCGATAGACCGATATAATCATATCGGTTTATCGGTCGTTCTGCCGATATACCGATAAACCGATTCGTTTTTACCGGTTGATCGGTTTATCGGTCGGATGGATTTCCGCCACCGTTTGCCGCCGCATTCTCTATATATATAAACATAAATATATCGACCGCTGTGGAAACGGAACAGATCACATATGGACCTGCTTTGATATCGGCAGACGATTGTTTGGCATTTCCAGTTGATTATTGGCAGGGTTGCAGTGTCGAGCCTTTCGAGCTCCCGTCAGGCGCGGCAACAGAGGATCAATGCGCCGTCTCTTCTGGCAATCGACAAGAGGGATTCATTTGGATCGTTATGGGGGAACTATTACAGAGAAGAACAAGCTCAAAGTGAAAGGGGGAAAGGTCAAACACACCATAGTGTATCAATCGGCGGAGCGACTTCCAAAGAAGATCGGTTGTTTGGCGGACAGAGTATATGACATTCTCGGATGATGGCATTGCTTTGAGGGGACTGCAGACCCGAATGCGCTCTCGAGATACAAGACAGGATATTGGTTTCGCTGTGCAAATGTGGATGTCTGTAGACGTTGCATATTGCAGAGCATTCAAGTATTATTCCAGATATTGTGGATGAGTGCCTCTTCCTTGTTGCCTCCCTCCCTTTCCTCCTGTTCATGGGCGGTGACGGGAACGCCCCCCTGCTCCTTGGGAACCGAAGAGAAAACACATCGAAGAGAGGGGGCACGCGTTTGGCGTAGTTCTCACTATCGTGCGTGCTGTTCTGGAGAGAACGGCATGACAACATAATGTAGTTGTGCACGTGCATGTGCATGATGTGCAGCACGCAGCGCTGCAATCGAGCGCGCTCTTGTTCGGTTCACAATCACCAGGCCCTTCTGGTGGGGAGTCTCGCGAGGACCCGACGTCGCCAGACTGCCGGCCCCCGACTTTCCCGAGCTTCGGAGAGCGCGTCGCCCTCCGCTAACGGGCCACCCTGTCAGGCTCGCCTCAGTTGGGGGAGGAAGAGGTGGGACCCGTGGGGGGGGCGCAGAGAGCCCGCAGGGTCGTTCTGGTAAGCCGCGGGATCTTGTTTCACTCGATTCTCGGCCCTGCATCCGTATTCACTCGCGGGAGAACCTTTAGTTTATAGCCTCCGCAGGAGCTGCTGCTGCTGTTGCTGCTGCTTTGGGGCACCCTCCAGAGCGCCATACCTTACCTTACCTTACCTTACCTTACCTTACCTTACCTTACCTTATTTAACCTTACCTGACCTGACCTGACCTGACCTGACCTGACCTGACCTGACCTGACCTGACCTGACCTGACCTGACCTGACCTGACCTGACCTGACCTGACCTGACCTCACCTGACCTGGCCTGGCCTGGCCTGGCCTGGCCTGGCCTTGCCTTGCCTTGCCTTGCCTTGTGTTGCCTTACCTTACCTGACCTGACCTGACCTGACCTGACCTTACCTTACCTTACCCTACCTTACCTTTTACCTTACCTTACCTTACCTGACCTTACCTTACCTGACCTTACCTTACATGACCTTACCTCACCTCACCTCACCTCACCTCACCTCGCCTCACCTCACCTTGCCTCACCTTACGTCACCTCGCCTCACCTCACCTTACCTTGCCTTACCTTACCTTGCCTTGCCTTACCTTACCTTACCTTACCTTACCTTACCTTACCCTACCTTACCTTACCTTACCTTACCTTACCTTATCCTTATCCTTATTCCTTATTAGAATATACTCCTACTCCCCCCTCAGGCCGGCCATTAGGGGCCGCATCCGGGGGGTCCCATCCTAACCTGTAAAAAACAATACAAAATCAACATTTTTCTTATTTTTTCCTCTCGACATGGACGTCCTGTCGTCCACGGCGATAATCCATCGCAAAAAATACCACAAAGAGCACACGCGCGCGTTCATGTCAGAATCCTACCGAACACCGTGTGTTTGCAAGCATTTCAACATAAAAACATCAAAAACCCAATGCTTTTTCACAAAAATTGTACAAATTTCCCGCCCGGGCTCTCTTGCTGAAATCATAGGAAAACCATAGGAATCTTAAGAATTCGGTCAAATCCAGCGATTTCACGTCATCGCGCGGTGCACTCGCGATGCTCTGTCATGCACCCAGGCCGCGAATCCTGTGCAAAAAATACCACAAAGAGCACACTCGCGCGTTCATGTCAGAATCCTACCGAACACCGTGTGTTTGCAAGCATTTCAACATAAAAACATCAAAAACCCAATGCTTTTTCACAAAAATGCTTTGGGGTGTCCTGTCAGACCGTCGGGCTTCCTCCGGCCACCTCTGGCTTCCTGCGGTGTACCGGGCCATTCTCGACTCGTCTGGCAATGCGTGCGCGGCATTCAACACGCGCTCGCCAGTTCCCGTCGGCAACCGCCATCGCGGCCGCATCAGCTGTACCAAACCGGCTGGCCGGTGTGACTTCGGCCCCCAGTTGTGCCAGCTTTGCTTCTTATGTTGTGGGAGGGCGGGTGGGACTGGGCATGCCATGCTTGACTCGCTCGAGCTGGCTAGCTTGACCTTACCTTACCTTACCTTACCTTACCTTACTTTACCTTACCTTTACCTTACCTTACCGTGCCTTACCTTACTTTACCTTACCTTACCTTACCCTACCTTACCTTACCTTACCTTACCTTACCTTACCTTACCTTACCTTACCTTACCTTCCCTTGCCTTACCTTACCTTACCTTACCTTACCTTACCTTACCTTACCTTACCTTACCTTACCTTACCTTACCTTGCCTTGCCTTACCTTACCTCACCTCACCTCACCTCACCTCACCTCACCTTACCTTGCCTTACCTTACCTTACCTTACCTTACTTTACCTTACCTTACCTTACCTCACCTTACCTTTCCTTACCTTACCTTACCTTACCTTACCTTACCTTACCTTACCTTACCTTACCTTACCTTACCTTACCTTACCTTACCTTACCTCCTCCTCCTCGTCCCCCTCCCCCCCTCCTTTTCCTCCTCCTCCTCCTCTTCCTCTTCCTCCTCGTTCTCCGGTTGGGCAGGCTGACAAAAAAGGCTCTGGGGATCGCTGGAGACTGAGGGAGACATGCCGGGTACGTCCGCGGAACGCAATGGGCCGGAGGCGGCCAGCCCCGCCTGGGGAGACGGCATCGGGGGCGGGGCCACAGGCGCCTCTCAGACATCAGCAGGATCACGAGGAGGCACGCGAGGCCGGGGGCCCTGTGGTGGCGGGGCGCCTCGGCTGGTTGGGCCGCGCGCAAGGGCCAGCGCCGCGGCGTCGCCTCTCCGAGGGCGGCGGCCGGCCCTGGCCGCGCAGCCGAGCCTCCGCCGCCGAGGCGCGGAGGTGCGGGGTGGGAACCTCCCCGCGGCCGCGGCCAGGGCTCCCGCGCGGAGGGGGTCCGATGCCGAGGCGGACGTGGCGGGCCGCTCGCGCCCGGAACCCAAGGAGGAGGAAAGGGAAGCCAGAGGCCAAGAACATATGTACACGTACGCGGTGAGGTTCCCTGGGAGTGAGTGTCAACGCGGACGCTCGTGCAGGCAAGACCGCGGAGGGCGTACATGTACATATGTCGTTGCTCGGCCAGGAAGGGATGGGGGACGGGGGAGGGGGGAGGGAGGGAGGAGGTGGGTCGTCCGTCGTCGAGCGAGGGACTGGGGCGAATCTGGTGTTCCGAGACGGCTCAGTGCTGGAAGAGGCTGCGAATGGCGGGCTGCGCGGCGTAAACATCTCTCACGTGCGCCTGATCGTAGACGAAAGCCACCAGAAAGGGTGGGAGCCACCACCACTGCGAAGCAACTGCTGAAACACGGGGGAGGCTCGAACACCTAGACGGGCTGGCGCCAACCCAGGTCGAAGGGGAAAGGAGCGACGCCGGAGCGAACAGAAGAGCCACAGTGGAGTACATTGACGTCAGTGCAAAGACAGGAGCGGCTTGAGCAACAGCTCGAACCGTATGGGCGAATCCCGAATGTACAGTGAACGTGCAAGCGACCCTGGAGCGGGGGGGAAAAACGGCCTGTAAGCTTCGAGCGAATGGGGCAGCCTGGGCAGAAATACGAGGCTGCCGGGGCAGGCGGCCTCGCAAGACCCAGGGTCAGCAGCGTCAGAGGCCGACGAAGAGCTGGAGTGCGAAGGGGGGGGGGCGACCCGCGACGAGTGAATCTGAAGGCGGCACGCACTGCACAGGCCAGCGCACAGCCAGCCGCGAGCGGGCAGTGGGGGCGACCCGCTGAGAGAAGCCATAATTGAGCTGCCTGACACGGGAGAGAAGAGAGGGCGACCCACGGTGAGAGAAGGCTCATGAAAATCAGTACAACTGCCAAGATCACACGGAATTTGTAGACAGTCAGACCGTGCCGTAACTGACGAGATAGGGCATGGGGGCACCGAAAGCAAAACCGAAGCCCAAATGACGACGTGTTGGTGCCCGCACCTTGGTTCAGTCCAGCGTGGAGGGATACCGGCTGAGGTGGTCGTCGAAGTAACCCGCCGTTGCGTGGCAGCTGAGCACGAATGAGAGCGAATGAGAGCGACATCCCAGAGATATGCCCAGAACATCGTTACATTCCGCTCCGCCGTGATGCTGAGCTTGGAAGCCGCCGCCTGCGCCGGGACGCGCCGCCGTAGCGGCATGGTGTAGGCGATCGGAAGCCCCGTGTAGGTACAGCATTCGTAGCAAGCCGTCGTGTTGCTGGGCTTTCAAGCCGTCGCCTGTGCCGGAGACGCGCTGCCGTATCGGCCTGGGTTGGCGAACGATTACCCCGTGCACATGCCTGGGATTTCGTGGTTTTCTGCCGTGATGCTGACCCTGGAAGCCGCCGCCTGCGCCAGAGAACGCGCTGCCGTATCAGCAGAGGTAGTTGTCGTAGGCGATCGGCAGCCCCGTGTAGATGCCCAGCACACTGCTGCATTCCAGGTAGGCGGAACACCGCCAGGGGTAGACGATGAAGCAGCCCGCGAGTGCACTACAGTTGAGGTCGGGAGTAATTCTTTACGCTTCGCGTATCCCCACCAGCCCATCTCACAACAGCAACTCTTGCGAATCATGCCGACAGTCGTGTTTTTCAGGCGTGTGTCCGCTTGGCCCCGCATATCTCCCCTGTTCCTCCTTCCTCCCGCCTCCTTGTACATCCTCCTTGTGGGGGGAGCGGGAGAAGGACGAGGCGGAGGAGGAGGGAGAGAAAGCGCTCCTCGTGGTTTGAGTCGTTTGGGGTTTCTCGTCCTGGTGTGAGTCGTTCGGGCCCTTCTTCCTGGTGTGAGTCGTTCGGGCTCTTCGTGGTGTGAGTCGTTCGGGCTCTTCGTCCTGGTGTGAGTCGTTCGGGCTTCTCGTGGTGTGAGTTGTTCGGGCCCCTCGTCCTGGTGTGAGTCGTTCGGGCCCCTCCTCCTGGTGTGACTCGTTCGGGCTCCTCGTGGTGTGAGTCGTTCGGGGCCCGCGTCGTGGTGTGAGTCGTTCGGGCTCCTCGTGGTGTGAGTCGTTCGGGCGCCTCGTCCTGGTGTGAGTCGTTCGGGCCCCTCCTTCTGGTGTGAGTCGTTCGGGCTCTTCGTGGTGTGAGTCGTTCGGGCCCCTCGTCCTGGTGTGAGTCGTTCGGGCTCCTCGTGGCGTGAGGCGTTCGGGCACCTCGTCCCCTTTTGGGGCGTCTTGGGGGCCTCTTGGCGGCCCCATGGGCTTCTAGGAGCGTCTTGGGTGCCTTGGGGGAGCCTCTTCGGGCCTCTTGGGAGCCTCTTGGAGGCCGTTTGGGGCGTCTTGGGGGCCTCTTGGCGGCCCCAGGGGCTTCCAGGAGCGTCTTGGGTGCCTCGGGGGAGCCTCTTGGGGCCTCTTGGGGGCCTCTTGGGGGCATCTTGGGGGCCTCTTGGAGGCCTCTTGGGGGCCTCCTGGGGGCCTCTTGGGGCCATCTTGGGGCCTCTTGGTGCCTCCTGGACGCTTCTTGGGGCCATCTTGGAGGAAATCGATCAAAGAAGAGGGGAGCTTTAATTAGCGCTGCCCCCTCAGAAGGGCAACATGGGGCCAAAACCTTTGTAAAATCAATGGTTTTGGCTTGAAAGAAGAAGGGAGCTTTAATTAGCGCTGCCCCCTCAGAAGGCCAACATGGGGCCAAAACCGTAGTAAAATCAATGATTTTGGCTTCAAAGAAGAGGAGAGCATTTTTTCTCCCCCCCCCCGTCGGGGCCAGAATCCTCGTGAGGGGTGTCGTTTTTTAGCCCTCCCAGGAGTCGAAAATGACCCCTCCAACGACCCGCGGAGGGACCTCTCCAGGCCCAGGGGGAGGGGGTAGGGGGAGGGGTAAACCCCTCCCCGAAGGGGAAGAAGGGGGGTTGAGAACAGAGAGAGCTCGCTAAACCACTCACGCCCAAAGGGCTGGTGGGATTGGCATCCCCGTGATTGTGCGTATGTGTATATGTGTGTATGTGTGTGTGTGTGTGTGTGTGTGTGTGTGTGTGTGTGTGTGTGAGTGTGCGTGTGCGCGTGTGTGTGTGTGTGTGTGTGTGTGTGTGTGTGTGTGTGTGTGTCTGTGTGTGTCTGTGTGTGTGTGTGTGTGTGTGTGTGTGTGTGTGCGCGCGCTTGCGTGCGTGCGTGCGTGCGTGCGTGCGTGCGCATGCGTGCGTGCGTGTGCGTGCGTGCGTGCGTGCGTGCGTGTATGTGTGTGTGTGTGTGTGTGTGTGTGTGTGTGTGCCCGGAACTTCGTAGCACCCCACCGTGTTGTTGGGCTTGGAAGCCGCCGCCTCGGCGGTGCAGTACGCGCAGACGGCCGCGGACACATGCGCCTGCCCCTTCCGCCTTCTCGACGCCGCCTTCCGTTGGCCGCAGGCGCCCTGATGGGGGCGGCCCGAACGGGGGCGGCGGCGACGGCGGCGCCCCTGGAGGGGCAGGCCATCAGGGGATGGCAGCGAGGGGGGGCGTCGGAGAGGCGCCGAGGGCCACGCAGCAGGCATGGCGGCATGGCGCGGGCGGCCGAGCCAGCCGGCAGGACCGACGCGCGTGAGCCCAGGCACGGCGGGCCCTACAGGCGAGGGCGCCCGCGCGTCTGAGCCTCGAGCCAAGCCGGCTACGGAGGAGGAGGAGGAGGAGGAGGAGGAGGAGGAGGAGGAGGAGGAGAGGAGGAGCAGGAGGAGGAGGAGGAGGAGGAAGAAGAGGAGGAGAGATGGTTGGAGGGAGGAGGGAGGGGGGTGGATGTGGGAGGGAGGATGTCGGCGGCCGCAGAAGGCTAGCGGTGTTCTGGGCAGCCGCGCGGGAGAGCGTCCGAGCAGGGCATCAGGGATGATTGGCGGGGCGCCTGCTTGGTGGTTGCGCCAGGATGAGCCTTCCAGAACGCTCTCGAAGCTTTCTGGCGTGCTCTGGAACGGCCGCGGCGTCCGATACTTCTTCCAGATCCGCTCGCTCTCGGAGGTTCCTGATCCATCCTCGTCTGGATTTGCCCCCATCCTGCCGCAGTCCTCCCCAGGGCATGAGGGGCTGCGGCGGCGGCAACGTCGAGCTGGCCCTCCAGTACGGCTCGCAGACTGCCGTGTGCAACGCGGCGTCCTACCCGTACACGGCCGCGCGCGGCACGTGCCGCTCTTCCAGCTGCAGTGTGGTGGGCATACCCAACGGCGGTGCCTCGGGTGCCCTCAGCACGCCCACATGTCCAGTCCTCCCCTTCATGACGGACGCACAAAGCACACTCATATCCATGGGGGGACGGACGGGACTATGGGTGCGTGCTGTCGGACGGCACCCCCGCTCGAATGGGAGCCTCCCCATGAGTCCGACAACCCGCACCCGTACCCATCGTCAGTCTTCCCTCCGACCTCCCTATGGGCATGTGCGTGTGCTGTTTGTTCGTGATTTCGGGGCCTATCCCGACCCGATCGATCGATTCGATATCGATCTGACTGGTTCAAACCAACTGCCCCAGATAGTAATGTACCCCCCCCCTTTCCCCCTGTATCTGGTTAATCCCGTGTCAATCGGATTTAATTGTGGAGAGGGGCGCGGAGGCCGAACCTGATAATCACCGGGGGAAGTTGCGAATCGAAGTTATTATCACCTTATGTTGACAAGCAACAGCATCAAAACGTTGAGCATGGCAATGGTGGTCTCACCATTTCAGCTTCCGCAATCACGAGCGCGTGGCAGGGCGATGGGATTCTCACCATTTCAGCTTTCCCAACTCACGAACGTGCGGCAGGGCCATGGGATTCTCACTTTCTCAGCCGTTCCCCAGTCAGGAACGTGTGGCATGCATTTCTCGAGCAGGCAAGTTGTAGCCACGAGACTCGAGATCTCTCGAGTCAGTCTTGTGCCAAGATCTACAAGGTCAGTCTACACGAGCGCCCAGGACCATCATCATCATCATCATCATCATCATCATCATCATCATCATCATCATCATCCTCATCATCATCATCATCAGCATCATCACCACCTTCGCCGGGAAAATCGTTGGTTATCCCCGCCAGACCCCCGATCTTTATTATCCCCAGGGGGTTCTTATCG